ATATAGAGACAGGTTTCTATATAACAGACTATTATACAGAGATTTTTCAATATAATAAACGCTTATAAGGTCAATTTCTGAAGAAAAATTTAAATTGGGCCGACAATTTACGCGCCGGTGATATTTTCTATAATAAGCCGTAGCTGACCTAAAATGGTTGCGGCGCCGCCGCCGATCATTTTGCATCGGCTTGTATGTTTGCTAGATGGTCAAAATTAGCTTATTGTTGAATAAAATTGTGGACATTTAAGTGAAATTTTGATGGGGGCTTTTCATAGGGGCTAGGGTCATATGAGGACCTATTATTATGGAATTCGTGACGGTCATCAAATCTTGTATAGAACTTGGTTTTTGCAGCTTTTTGTCGAGATATGAGTATATTAAACATAATTATGAACTTAAAAGCCCTATTCGGCGGGTTCAGTTATGGGGGCTAGGTGAAATAATGGACCGATGGCATTTTCAACAGGCTTCGTTTACGGTACCATAAAATATCATGTGCCAAATTTCATTGAATCATCTCCAAAATTGCGACCTGTAGTTTGATTACAAAGATTAAAAGCCCTATTCGGGGGGTTCAGTCGTATGGAGGCTAGGTGAAATAATGGACCGATGTTAACCATTTTCAATAGACTTTGTCTACGGTACCATAAAAGATCATGTGCCAAATTTTATTGAATTATCTCCAAAATTGCGACCTGTAGTTTGATTACAAAGTTTAAAAGCCCTATTCGGGGGGTTCAGTCGTATGGAGGCTAGGTGAAATAATGGACCGATGTTAGCCATTTTCAATAGACTTTGTCTACGATACCATAAAAGATCATGTGCCCTATTAGGGGGTTCAGTTGTATGGGGGCTAGGTGAAATAATGGAACGATAACCATTTTCAATAGGCTTCGTTCCTGGGGCAATAGAAGATCTCGTACCAAATTTCATTGAATTATCTTCAAAATTGCGATCTGTAGTTTGATTACAAGGTTTACATGGACGGACGGACAGACGGACGGACATAGCTAAATCGACTCAGAAAATGATTCTGAGCCGATTGGTATACTTTAAGGTGGGTATAGGCCCAATATTATTGTGCGTTACAAACATCAGCACAAACCCAATATACCCTCCCCACTGAAGTGGTGTAGGGTATAATTAAGTTTAAATACATTATTTTTAAAAAAATAATCAAAATTTTTAACATAATCACTGGTGTAGGGTATCATATGGTCGGCCATGACCGACTATAAATTCTTACTTGTTTATTGTTTATTTAAGCTTTATTTTGAACTTGTTTTTGTTTTAAAATTTTTGTTCTTAAAATTTTCGAGAAATTTTAATTAAATATTATCAGTGGTTAACATCAATTAAGAGGTTGCGATAAAAATTAAATTTGAATTATTTGTGAGTAACTAGGAAATAACCACTTTGGTTTTTGTATCCAACACTAATATCCCAAAGAGTATAGCTTTTTGAGGCTATTCATATTAGGGTAGATATGTATATCCTATACGTCGGGTACATAATTTTTTTTCAAAAATCAATAATATAATCTATGATATTCTTATGCATCAAATTCAAATTAATTAAATTTTTAAAAACAATATGCATTGTTATTTTCTGACATTGTGAACCTTTGAAAACAATAAATTCTTTAAATTTTACGATATAATAAAATTAATGTTTAATTTAATTAAAACAATATGAAATTTGATATTAAAAGGATGTAATATAAACATTTACTGCCCACTCGTAACAAAAATAAATGGGAAACTTGCGATCACCAAACGTTGAACAAGTTTTTAAATTGAGGTTATTCACGGTAAAAAGTTTGAAAACTTGTAATAAATTCACATACATATTTACATTGTAAATAAAGGAAATTAATTTATTATTGTTCGGTTTGTTTGAAAATGTTTGACCACTATAAGTTCTTTATTATGGTAGTATGGTTGGACGCTTCACTTGCCAAAACCATTAACCCCCAAAACTGGCAAAAACCAAACAAAGACGTTTCGAGAAAAACGACTTTAAATGTTCTACGACATTTTACTACTTTAATACATCGAGGGACTGACTATATTATATAGTCTCTAACTCTCATTTTTATGAAAATAAGATTTTGATGACAAAATATTCCACAAACAATCCCACATCCGTGATGTACATTACAAAAACAAACAAATATTTTTGTCATTTTTAAATTCATCTATCTTAAAAAGGGGAAAAATGTCTGAATTCAAAATTCTCTATATATTTTTAAAAATTGCGTTAAGCTCTAAAATTGTTTACAAAATTCTGTTACGAAACTAGTTCTCATACAAATTGGGAATGCTTTCGAGATATCGCCCATTATGTTACTAATTATATAGTTAAATTTATACCCTCCACCACCATCAGTGGCGATAGAGTGTACTTATATATAAGTTTGTTGTTCCAATAAATACATATTCATTTGAGACCCGACAAAGTATATGTATATATTCAGGGTCCTTATGAAAATCTGAGTCGATTTAACTATTGCCGTCTATCTGGTTAAAAAAGCTCACGTTAAAACTAAACAAAAGAAAATCAATAAAATTCACTGAAATATTCATTGTTGTCCTAAGAAGTTTGTTATTGAAAATCAGCAAAATTGGTTCACAAAGTGAAAAGTTATGAGTAAAAATTTCAGACTACTTCGAAAAAAAGTAACTTGATTAATTTTGTTATATATTACTTTTTGTCGCCCAGGTATCAATTGTATTCAAAATCATAACAATCGACCCAAAATTTCCCATAGCCATACAAATGTTTATGAGTATTACCTGAAAGGGATTTATAGATAATAACTTCCTTAAATATATCGGTATCAACTATAAAGTCCTATAAGGCCCACTTCCGATTACTACGTAAACGCACATATTTCATTACTAATTTAATATATTGGGATAAAATTGTGAAACTATTTACGCATCATTCCATAATTGGACATAGGTACCTCTCATATAAGGTCCCCTCTGGAAATGTACATGAACGCTCACATTTCATCGCCAAAACAAGATACTTAGACCAAATTCGACATAAATATATTTTGTCTACTTATATGTAAATCATTCTGCAAATTATTTCCGTATCGGTCCATAATTGGACATACCTCCCATATAAGTTCAACTTCCAAAAACAATATTCCAGGAATTCGACATAAATATATTTTGTGTTCTGCGAAATTTATTTCGGATTGGTCCACTACTTAAGTTAAAAATAGATTTCGCTATAAGATTCGGTTATACTTCTTATATAAGGTCCATTTCCAAGAATTACTTAACTTGACAAGAAATATTTCGCTATAAAATTTGACATGATTATATTTTAAGTATATAATAACCATTCTACATCAGTCCATAACTGTTCATAGCTCTCTTACATATATGGTCCGCTTCCGAAAATCACTTAATCATAAAGATATTAGGCTTCGTTTCAAAAAATTAAAAATGTTTCCCGTTTTTGCGATAACTATCACAACTTTTTAAGAGGTTTATGTACCAGTGACAACATTGCTGTAGCAATTTTTTCAAAATTCAAACTCCTTCATCTGCATATCTAAGACGGAAGTCATTGATTTTGAGCGATATTTTTTACAGAGCAGAAACTGCAGATTTAATAGGAAATTATGCTTTAATAACACAGGACAAAGAAATGAAGGTTTGTAAAAACTTTTGAAACCAATTGGACTATTTTTAATGTATTTTTATCTGCTGAAAAAGAATCTGATATCTGTTTTGTTCATATATTACGCTGTTCATATATTATTTTTCCTAAGTTTCATTTAAATCGATTGAAAACAAAATAATATTTCACCATGGTTTCAAGAAAATTTCCCAATATTACATATCTAGAGTTTGCCCTTCACAGTTTATGGGTTAACATTATTCGATTTTACTAAAACTTCAGATATATGTCTCATGTTGTCTTAAATTTTATAATCTGAAAAAGTTTTATATAAAATGAATAACAGTAAAGAATAAAACCTGTTTTCCAAAAATCTTAACAAAAAATTATTTTCTTCGAAAACCTCAAAATTCAAGTCGCAGGTACCTCTAATATGTGAGAGATATCGACATAATTTTTTTTTACTAATTTATTCCCTCTCTTTATTTTCCATAAGTCACATGGAGATTTTCCCAAGATTTTAAAATTTGCTTAACAAAATTGTTAAAAGTTTAAAACTGGACTATATGACTATACCCCAAATACGGTTTACACTATCTAATGAGGATAAAATCTAATACGAATACATTTAATGTAATGACATGGTTTTATTACAACATTTTTCAATTATTTCAATTATTTGCTGTTAAAGTTCAAAAAATTGAATTTAGTGCCAAAATTTTTATAAAAATCGTTTTCCACTTCCGGGCCATGGTGCCACCAGATAACGTGGTCCTATCGGATTTTTAAGAATCCATTTCACTCACTATTCGCAATTTCTGTAAAATTAAAAAAATATATATATTTGGAACTCAAGCTATAGATAATATAGCACTAAGTTGTTTAAATTTCGATTTAACATACTTTGTTTCAAGCTCCTGGCAACACTGCTTATTAAACTAAATAATTATAAACCCAGGTACAAATTGCTAATATTTAAGTAAAAATACACTGATATAATCTAAATTTAAATTAAATTTTTATTAAAAAGTATTTGAAATGATATTTCACTTATAGATTAATTTGTGCAATATTAGTTACAGCTAAAGCAATGATGTTCAAATGGATAAATAATAAAATTTCTAAAGATATATTCCGTATTCATAAAGATATCAATCGTTTATTTTAGGTTTTTTTATTAAAACTTCAAAAAGTGAATTATTCATTTATGAATATTTGATAAAATCAAAATTTTTGTCTGAATATATCAAGAGATGTTGCTTTTATTCAATTTGTAATAGAAGAATGTAAAACGAGTTAATATTCTTAAAAGAATTCATTCTTTCTAAGCACTGCTTAAAATGAATTTAACAAATCCATTAATTTTTCCAATCTTTGCGATTTACGGGTAAGCAATTCTAGAATAAATACAATTGTTGAAATCAAAAACATTATACCACTTATTATGTACAATCCTTTCAAATTTTTATTCTTCAATCTGCTCACAAACTCTGAACGGGTATTCATTTTCAGGAACTCGGCACGAACATGTTTCCTTGCAATGAAAGCAGTAATGCCGGCATCGGAGAATATCTTCAATTTTCGATCGATACTCGGACGTAACATAGAATGTTTTCTAAAGTACATTACACATGGAAAGGAGTGTATGGTTTCTCCGACATATGTCAAGGTGCTAGTTTTCCAATTCTTATAATTGTAATGTGCCAAAGAATCCAACAGAGCCGTGGAAGTTAATCTTGAAGTACTCATCTGTAGCATATGCATGCGTCTAGTGGTGTTAGCTATGATTTGTGTTTTATTTGCTGGATAGAAATCATGATATAGATGAGTCAGTAGGGTGTAATCCTGTTCTATGAGTTGTGTCATTTTTTGCGGCATTGGTATACGTTGCGAAAAACGTAAACTATCAAACATTTTGCCCTGATAACCATTGCGTACTTCGAATGAAAGCAATAACCAGGCGGCCATAAGAAATCGAGCAAAATTTCGTCTCGGTATTAAACGAGTTGGTAATGCATTGCCGAAGAAAATTATAAACATTGAACATATTGGCGTTTTATTCTTCGATCCAAATACAAAGTCACGTACTTTTGGTTTCTTATGTGTTAATTTAGTGAAAATAAATGAAGCAGAAAACAAAATCAGTAGAAATGTCCAGGTGGAGAGACATAAAGGATTGAGTAGTTGTTTGATTGGACCAAAACATACACCACTACGAATCACAAATACATATGGGGTATTATGATAAACAAAGGATTTACTATACTTATCGCTATTCCACTGAGTCGAACTGAAACCTCCTATGGCAATATGCGAACGTTCTCTATCCAGCTGAAATAAAAATTTTAAAAAATACATTTTTAAATTGTAGGGCAATATGCCAAAGAATTTTTATATCAACTAGTACGTTTTTCTAAAATTATTTAGATTCAAAATTGGTGAGTGTAAAATAGTGCTAGTAGTTCTAACTTACATCTCCAAAACAGCCCTCTGAATCTGAGTAATAATGAATTATATTCCCTTCCTCAGGAAAACGTAAACGAATTTTAAAATTTAAAGATTTGCTGATCGCTCTTAAAATATCACCCTCAATACCACTCAAACGATTAATCTCTATTAAATGTGTTTCATTGTTTACATCGCCATGGAATGTTAAAAGTGGTGGCACTTTATGTGCCGATACATTTAACCAACAACCGTGGAAATCATTAATGTGATCGGGAAATAAAAATTCATTCTTTAGAGTTCCATTTTCGTAACGATTAATTTCGTGTATAGTAATATTATTTGCGCTTTGATCATTATTGAAGACTTCATAAGCGTAAAAACTGATGTGGTCTCCATTGAAGGCTTTACACATTATAACCACGTTTCTGACGTTATATCTGAAAGCTGTATTAAATATTTTGTATAGAGTTTCATTGAATTCTACTTCATTGTTAGAGCTCCAAGTCAGCAGAATGAAAAAGTTGAAGAAACGCTCCTGCCATGTGCTGGGTAATTTATAGCGTACAAATCTGCAAAAAAATAAATCTAAATAGTTTGTATTACTTTAGAAATAATATACTCGAACACTTGCACTTTCTGTAAAAGAACAACTATTTCATTGCTAGTGTAAACACATTGTTAGTAACTTACAGAAATGACTCATGCGAGTCCACTATAAATATATTATAATCCCATAATCGATCATTATAAAATCCAAAAAATAACTGTATTGCTAATTCTTCCCTTAAACCATATAGAATATTATTTAATATTTCCGTCTGATAGTTTTGTTCCTCATGACAAATAACTTTACATCTCTCATTGATAACCAACGTATTTGTTTTGGGACCTATGAAACGCTTAGCCATGTATACCGCCAATTTAGTGTATTCCACAAAATTTTGATTTGAATTAATTCCTTTTGAAATCGCAATTTTACAGTTTGCAATTGGTAAGTCCACAAATAGTACCACCACAATTACTACACAATATTTTAATATATTTTTCATTTTCGTTATTGTGCAACTGTTCTGTTTTAAATGAAAACTATAATTGAATAGAATTTTATTAAATTTGACTGCTGTTTAGTGTAAAAATGATGTATGTGTTATAAGTATATTGCTATTTTAATTAATTAACTGTAAGCAATTAATTTTATAATCATAACTGTTGCAAGAATAGTTTTAACACCCTACTCCACTATATTTAATTTGTGCTGAATGTTTGTAACGCAATTTAAATTTTTATACCCTACACCACTTTAGTGGGGAGGGTATATTGGACTTGTGCTGATGTTTGTAACGCACAATAATATTGGTCCTATACCCACCTTAAAGTATACCAATCGGCTTAGAATCATTTTCTGAGTCGATTTAAACCTTGTAATCAAACTACAGGTCGCAATTTTGAAGATAATTCAATGAAATTTGGCACATGATCTTCTATTGCCCCAGGGACGAAGCCTATTGAAAATGGTTAACATCGGTCCATTATTTCACCTAGACCCCATACAACTGAACCCGACGAATAGGGATTTTAAGTTTATAATTATGTTTAATATACCTGCATCTCGACAAAAAGCTGCAAAACCAAGTTCTGTACTAGCCTTGATGACTCTCATGAATTTTATAATTATAGGGTATCATTTGACCATAGCCCCTATACAAATCCCCCTTCAAAATTTGACTTAAATGTCCACAATTTTATTCAACAATAAATGGCTTAAGTATAATTCAAGGCAAGGTGCAATTCAACTTAAGTGCTTTATTATGAAAACTAAATCACATTTTATTTTTGTAACAAGTGTAGGGTATTATATGGTCGGCCTCGCCCGACTATAATTTCTTACTTGTTTTTTAAATAAATCGGTTGAAAACAAAATAATAGTTCACTATAGTTTCAAGAAAATTTCCCAATATTGCATAACTTGAGTCTGACCATCACTGTTTATGGGTTAAAATAATTCGATTTTACTTAAACTTCAGATGTATGTTTCCTATTATCTGAAATTTTTTCAAAATTCAAATCGCAGGTACCGCTAATCTGTGAGAGATATCTATCTAATTCTTTCTTGTTCTATTCCTTCTTTACTGTTCTATTTTCTTCTTTATTGTCTATAAGTCTCATGAAGATTTTCTCAAACTTTTAAAAGTTGCTTAACAAAATTGTTAAAAGTTCCTGGGAGTTCCTGGATGGTGGATAGGGGCTATAGTTTTACATAAGCTGAGAGAGGCCAATTACGGTGCAGAGCCTAAATAATCCACTGTTGATCTTCTCGCCAATCATGTGTGAAAATGAGAGAAGAGAAGCTAGATGGTCTAAAAGGAAAAGAGCAGCCGTCTTACGCCAAAGTTGCCAGAAGAAGATACCAGGACGATCTCTGCTATGCAGTTTACAAGCAGAGTTAGGTAGAAGATCTGGCCAACAATAAGATATTGGACTATGCTATCGCTTCAAAGGCAAAACAACCATTAGAAAGCGAATTTAGAATAGACATGATGATAATGTGATTAGTTAGCATCTCACCAGTGTATTGGCACCTTGAAGAAATTGGTGGAAATTACTCCCGCACCCTGGGATGGCGTTAAGCTGGGACTAGTTAAGAAGAGGGATCTTCCGGTGTTCTTAAAGTCCACTGTCTACATAAAAGGATGGGCAGTAAAATGGCCGGAAAATTTTTGGAAGCCAAAATGCTGAACTGGTCGTAGAAAATGACATGTCTTTCACAGGAAAGTAGATTCTGAGAGATCTTTACTTTTAACAGGCATCGAACAGAACTCCATGGCTAGTCTTGCCAAGAACAAAGGCATGGCTTATTTCGCCTCTAAAGCTGTTCTTTAAAATTAGAAAGGTGTGTTCACAGTTTCATTAGCCAGTACTGGTAAAGATTAGAAGTCAACTTCAGTAAAATTAAAGAATTGAATATTTGAGACACAAGTATACAGTTACGAGGAATAAATAAAAATATCAAAATGTGGAAAATTGGCGGGTTATACGACTTTTATATTGACATTTTCGGAATCAGCACACCCAATAATACTAGGATTAGTGCAAATTATTTAAACATTTTTTTCATCGTTGTATATGACCTGTGTTATTGTTGAAATATCCCTAGTCCCCATACGTCCATAATTCAAATTTGGTATAAATAATAATGCACATTTCACCAACATTCGTTATCAGGATCGGCAAATAACGTTTATACAAAAATTATTGCATCAAAAAAGGTTAAACTAATTATTTACAATTAATTAAATAAATTAGCAATATTGCTAATTTGACTACAAACTATATTCAATTATATTCAATTCCATTATAATGCGGAAGGTATTATGCGTTTGTTCTGACGTTTGCAATACACTAAAATAGGTATACTTTAAGGTAGGGTAGGATCAATCGACTCAAAATCACTTTCTACCACCAAATTTTATGAGGATCGGCGCATATTTACCAGTAACCCCTATATAAAACCTACCTACCTATAAATCGCTTATATATTTTAAAATTAATGTAAAATATATTTATATGTAAATATAAAAATATAATTGGCGTAGGCTATCATATGTTTGGCCATGTCTGACTGTACTTTGTTACTTGTTTTAATTTGCAGCGAAGTGGTTGTGGAGAGTTATTGGTTATGAGAAGCAAAACTATTAGAAGGAAATATTAATTAATATTAATGTTCCATTAATTATTATATTAATAGAATTCAATTTGACTTAAAGGAAGAATTTGTAATACAGTTATTTTTTGTTTTTATATAATGACCGATTATTGGACTATAATATATTTATAGTGGGCTCGCATTAGTCATCTCTACGAGTTGTCAATAGTTGAGTTTACACACGCAGTGAAATAACTATTGACTATTAGAGAAACGCACCTAGTGAGTATTTATCCCAGCAAAAACTTATATTGAAAAACAATAACTTAAAAGGCAAAAAAACGCTTTTCATTACTTGTTCATTAGCATTATAACTCATTATTTTAACACGTTGATAATATTGGACGCAAGTACATACCACGCTCGCTTATAAATAACTACCTAAATAAGTACTTACAAATGGGGAGTTAAAATGTTGTTCACATACGAACCTGTACCTCTTATTCGTTGGTTCGCTGTCTTACTCACATCACTGCTTAGTTATTTTTTGTGCGTCAAATAACACAGTGAGACATAATAAACGAAAATTGAAATACCTGGGAAGTGATACTATTTTTCTGAAAGGTGGATCCGAGTAGAACAAGAAAATGTTTTTGAAATTTGCCAAACACTTCCAAAATCTTGAGTTACGGGTAAAAAAACGTTTTTTCGTAACATAAATCCTTACACCAAATTTTTTGATGATCGGCACATATTTAACCCTATCCCCAATATAAAGCATCCTTCGGAACATCAGTTTTTGAACAATTTTGTATTGATAAAAAGATCAATAACGTCGTCAATTGCTAACGGATTTTAAAAAGCAAAGTTGCGTTTTACTCACGAATAAACATGGGTTTCTAATCAGTTAATAAATAGTACGGTTCCTATATGAAATACTTTCAAAAAACATCTCCTAACTTGGACAACGGTGCAAAATTAAAATGATAAATATGTTTGCTGATGAAATTTACACATATCTCTCCAGGTTACTTAAACGTTATATATGTCATTATAAAGAAACTTAAAATCGGTTCAGATTTAACTAAGCTACTGACTTATAAGTGCCCAAAGGTACGAACAACCGGTTTTTTACCCGTAACTCAAGATTTTGGAGGTGTTTGGCAAATTTAAAAACCATACTCTTGTATTATTCGGATCCACCTTTTAGAAAAATAGTAAAATGAGTAATAGTGTAATGAGTCTTAAACAAAATCATTAAACTGAAAACGAATCAGGACTGGTCCCCACGGACTTAACTAAACTCGATGTTGGGGGACTCATGTTCTAAATCTACCCAGGTAGTTGTCCCAACACACGAAGATGCATTACTGGAATCTATTCCTAATACGAAATCCTCTATCACCGACAAATCCGATGCCATAGGTAGGTACTGAACCGAGTCACAATGAGACATTTGGTACTTTCAGAACGACAAAAATAAAAAATTAAACGCTTTCCAATTGTCTTGCTTGTTATTATAGTTAACAGTAAACATTCCATATACTATAGAAAAATAACTAAAAATATTGCAGAGTTCCTTTAACCCGAAATATAGGTGCTCAAAGTTGCTACTTTTAAAAATAAAATAATTTTCTTGTAATATTCCTGAAGCGGCATATTAATTTTGAATGCGTATATCTTGGTAAATATTTCAGATATTTATAAAGTTTCTTCAGTGTATTATAATTTAGTACTTCAAGATTATTCTGCAATGATTTTTTAGACAAAAGCTCAATTTTAAAGGTTTTATTTTTAACTCTAAGGAAAAATAATATTAATAATAAAAATATATTTAAAAATTATATTTTTAATGGAATAGATCTAATGACTGCAGCCAATTGCAGTTATCTAATTATAACCCTTGCATAGGAAATTTTCTATAGAAACATATATATGAAAATTGTCTGCGACCTTTTGCGATCTTCAGAGATATTCAAAAAAATTAGAGTGTCCTATAGAATTTAATATGTTTTTTTTTTTTAATTAAGTGTAAACTCACGTTAGGGGTATACATAAATTTTGGCCTTGGTACCATGTATTAGCCCACAATTAGTGCTTTTAAAAAACAATTACTTAAGCCAATCAGGTGTCATAGCTTTATTTAAAAAGTAAAATTTTCTGTTTATTTCCAGATTTAAATTCATAGATTTTAAATTTATTTTGTTCTTTGTAAAAACCGCGGAATTTATATTTTATTTTAAATTTTAATTAGAGTAAAAATTG